CCTAATCGGGAAAAGGGGGGAGAATGGCGAAGAAAAAGAAAAAGAGGACGAGACCCGCAGAATCAATCGAAAGGCGCTTCTTCATGTCACGGCGGCGTCCCCACCGGAGATCCATCGGCCATCGGTTGGCGGCCGAGAGCCTGGAAAGACCAGGCCGGATTTTTTTTTGTTTGACCTGGGAGTTGGCAGTCTAGGTATGTAGTAGCTGTGTCATGACACATAATTTGCCAGACCGGTGCATGCCGAGCCAGGGCGAGACAATGGCCGGCGTATATAAGATGTTGGCGATGCCCTCGGCTTTTGGCAATGCTACTGCTAGTTACCTTTTTTGGATGTTTGTTTACTCGTTGCTGCAATAACAGTTTAAACTTCGGTTTATATCCCATCAGCTTACTACATCTCACACAAGCCGGACCGTCAAGCCATCGAAACCTTCCCAAGGCCGACTTACACAGCTAGCCATTTACAGGAGTTGCTCATCTAAAGCTTCTTGACTCGCAAGACAATACAATACAGATACAACTAGCAAGATTATCATACAAGAATCACATTATATTGCAAAGTGGCAGTTTTCGGCATTTGCTTCCGAGCCTGGGGTTCAATTCGATTCATTCCAAGCCAAAGTCATCGGCGCCCTTGCAAACCGATCACCAGATCTCGACCTAAGAACGCCCCCCAGACGCAGCCCCTCCTTGGCACAGCGCCCGCATATATTCTGGAGGGGACCCTTTGTTCACCATTCGTCAGAGCGGCGCTAGGGCTGAAGAGCTGCTGAGACAGAGTTTTGGAAATCAAGTCCAAACGAAATAAGCAATAGGCGAAAGCGGGAGAGTAGTAGAGCTGAGAAGAGCTGAGGGTGCAATAAAAAGCATCGCCGCCCTACTCCCAAATTCGACGCTTTCGTCACGACACCTCGACTATACGCAATCATCACCTTTTTTTCTTGCATAAACCGCCAAAATGCCCCACCTCGTTGCCAACTTCCTGCGGTCCTCGTCAGGACCCATTCCTCACATCAAGGCCGTTTCCAGGTCTCGCAACACATCTCGGAGCACCTCCAGGAGTGCATCGCGCAACACCAGCCCTCATGCCTCTGACAGCGAGGACCGCCATGCCGTCAAGATGCCCGACCTCGCAGAAGCCATTAAGAAGCCCCACCGCCTGTCACTGCACTTTGGCCGATCAAACTCCAAAGAACGCCAGCAACAGCATGTTCCCTACTCTCCTGTAGTCATTGAGTGGAGCGTTGAGAGCCCGCCAGTAGTCTTCCATGGCAACACTGAGGAGAGCACCGGCGCACTGGTGTCAGGACAGATCTTCTTGGACATTAAGGAGGAATTGGTGGATATCGAGAGCTTCACAGCAGCCCTCAACCTGATTGTTACACACAAGAGGCCATTCCAGAACAACTGCAACGAGTGCCAGACACAGACAACTCAGCTGGAGAAGCTGGAGCTTCTGGCTCATCCCATTCCCCTGCGAAAGGGAAAGCACCAGTTCCCCTTCTCCATTCTGCTGCCGGGCCATCTGCCAGCTTCAATGGACACTCCTGTGGTTTCCATTGCCTACGTCCTCAACGCCGAGGCCCAATACCTCACTGCTCCTACAGACTCCGAAACCCCAAGCTCAATCTCAACCGCCAAGTTTGATCGAATCATCGACGTCAAGCGAACCCTTCCCGAGCCTCTTTACCCTCACAACTCCGTCCGAGTCTTTCCCCCCACAAACATCAAGGCAGCTGCCAGCTACATCTCCGTCATTCACCCCACCGCCGCCAACAAGATGACCCTCAAGCTCGACGGGCTCATGACCCACAACGAACGAGTCAAGACGGTTGACCTGTGGAAGCTGAAGAAGCTCACCTGGAAGCTCGAGGAGACCATCAAGACAGTCGCCCCCGCCTGCGAGAAGCACAACCCTGGCCTTGCCGAGTCAGCGAACAAGGGCCTGCCCCGAAGCGAGACCCGTGTCATCGGCGAGAAGAGCCTCGTCGATGGATGGAAGTCTGACTACACCGGCAGCGATGGCATCGTCGACATGGAGTTTGAATACTGCGTCAACCAGCTGAAGCAGCACTCTCGAGAACTCAAGTACGCTTGCGATACCAAGACCCAGGACGGCACTGAGGTTACCCACTCTCTGTTGCTGGAGCTGGTCGTATCAAAGGAGTACGCACAGGAGGGCAAGGCTCACATTTCACACCAGACTGGCACTGGCCGCATTCTGCGAATGCACTTCGCCGTCGTCTTGACTGACAACGGTGGCCTGAGTGTCAGCTGGGACAACGAGGCTCCTCCTGTCTATGAGGATGTGCCCCCAAGCCCCCCTGAATATGCTGAGGACGCGCATCCCATGGAGTACGTTGACCTTGAAGAAATCATTGCTGCCAGGGCAACGGCACCCAACAGCCGAAGGGGCAGCCAAGAATTATAAAGAACATGACGAGACTACTTCTTTTTGCTTGATTTGCTTTTTGAGCGGCTGGGTTTTTCAACAAATTGCTATGCATTCAGCATAAAAACATATACCCCCTTAACGGCGAAGGACAAAACATGGCGACTACAGTCTATTTGGACTTTCTTTTCTTTTGTTAATTTTTTTCTTGATCTGTTTTTAATCTATACGACATCATGAACTACAATTAGGCGAACTGAGATTATAACTCGGCCGAACAGTGGCCTCTTTTTCTTTTATGTTTGGGTCTTGGATTTTGGGCGAAGGATATTGGCTACATATCGCGTTCGGCAATGAACGGCAGGCTATATAGTAGAACATTAGCAAAAATATTAATTGCTTAGTATTTAATTTAAACCATCATCGCTCATTTACTTCTTCAGTTGCCTTTCTCTACATGATGTTCTACTTCCTGGTGTTTTCACATGCCACTTACGAAAGGCGGCCATAAAGCTGGCATCTTTTCCACGAGTAGGCTATAGTGAACTCCCGTCTGCAGCAACCGAAGCGATGTCGGCCTTTGGGCGAGGATCATCTACACACGAATATCTCAGACGCTAAAGCTACGGCGCGATGTTGAGGGCGCCTTTACTGCCTAATCAGATTTAGCCGGCAATCGGCATCAAGGAAAGTAGTAGAAGTGGCAGTCTACGACGATGCAGGCCAAATTATGTCATTGATCTTGTGAAATGTCGCCCAGTTTCTTTTAGCGTCCATCTTGTATCGGCTGATCGTTAAAATCTTGGACTGATGAGCTGTGGGCTGATGGGCAACGATGTACGGCAACTCAACTCGACTGAACCGAGGTTGTTGGTTCTAGTTTGTCCACGAGTCATCTCTAACTTTTCCACCTTTCGACTACCGCTCATATTAGCCGCTTTCATACAATAGATAACAAGACAGTAAGCAGCTCAAAAAGCTTCTTCCCCATGGGGATCGTTATGACTCTTCGGCACCCCCACAACTTGTATCGGCGTCAAGAGTAGCGGCACCGGAGCATCTGTGGGGTCGATGCGGGAGACCAGACGAACTCCGAGGAGCGGGGGCAGGAGAAGCCAGGCCGTCATCCTCTACGCCCTTTACTTGGCTAGATGCGATTAATAAGATGTGGTTGCATAATCTCATTTATAAGCGCCTGGACCAAGGTTGATGATAGAGGTGCACATTTGGTGCAACACAGCATGTAATGTGTACTGCTATTTAAGCTGTAGCTTTAGTAAGCCGCCCTTCAGTGTGTATGCTGCATGAAGCTTGATCTTTAGGGGTTTGCTTACTCAAAATCGCGGTTGGATGAGCTACACTAAGCTATTGACGCTGAGAAGTGCTATTCTACATCGAAGATTTTACAGGACTCACTGACACCTACGTTCTACTACCTTTACACATTACTTGTAAAAACTGCAGTACGCGAGTATGGTAGTTCACGCACTGGCATTCCAGAAGCGATAGTTAAGTTACTGTTGTACATTATCATGATGCGTACCGAATTTTTGTTACACAATCTAGAGTTGTTCGTACGCTGGATTTCTCTAAATTCGACACCTAGAATGGCATGCTGTCGTGTCGTGTCGGGGCTGGAGTGAATATGCGGGTGCTTATGTGTAACAATGCGCAGCATAGACAAGAACTGCTAAACAAGCATACCTACAACGTGGAAATCCTCAAGCTTGATGTATCTCGATCTCAAAACCTGCCGACGTTGTGGGTTTTGGCTCGTATTTACTTATATATTGCAGAGTACCACTTTGGCCTTGCTCCTCTTACTTCGTTATTGTATGTGCTTGATTCTATGCTCGGCGAGAACCCTCAAATGGCTGCATCTCGCCCGTTTCTTTCTTATGTATCTTCTCTTTCTCTCTCTCTCTCTTTTTTTTTTTTTTTTTTTTTTTTTTTTTTTTTTTGGCATAAGATCTATACAGTCCATTTGTGCGATTTCCATAAGGCTCAACCATCACTACCTCTGTCATTAGACTTATGGAGTGCTACGGCGGCGAGACTGCCCAATACACCAAAGGGCGGGGATAAATATGCCTAATTGACCCTACGTTCTTCATTTAAAACTTGCAATAAATGGGTACACGCGAAAACATGCAACATCTGACCACTGTAGTCTACATAATACGTAGTTTGTTATACTCCTTGACTATTAAGCAGCACTCATATCAGTGAGCCATGCACGTTTTACAGGACAAAGTATAACATATTACATGATCCAAGGCTCGTAAGTGAGAATGCAACACAATCAGTTAACTGTACCTATATGTTATCTGTCTTGAGGTAGCATTTGCTTGATGCCTTAAGCATATGTATCAATACCAGCTGCGATGGGGCGAGGCTGGGCCAATGTCGTCGTTCGCAGCGACTGCTTGTCTTTGATTTACATCCGATGGAATTTCGCAACGTGTTGCCGCATATCGTTATGCCGACAGGAAAGCTTGACGAATATATATGTGGCTTTTATTGTTCAAATAGGATATACCAATTCTGATTCTCTACAAACTTAGCAGTTTTCCTTTAAAGAGTTTGTGATCATTCAACTCTTCAGGATGGGCGGCTCCTCTAGCAAAGTTTCTGCAACTCCGCCGTCTAAGGCTGAGGCACTGGGGCCTTATGTTGTGACATCTGTGCAGCACCCGAAAGTCGAGTAGGTATTTGATATAATAAAATGAGCTGTTGATACAATATGACACCTTACTAAGCGTGGTAGTCCTCCATGGTTTTACTGGTCATAGAGAGAAAACATGGACTGCTGAGGGCGAAACTGAGCCATGGTTCAAGACACTTCTTCCAAAGGACCTCCCGACGGCTAGAATTATGACCTACGGCTATGACGCCGATGTACTCCATCTAACCCGTGTTGCTGGCCAAAACACAATCCGAGAACATGCAAAGACTCTCATCAATGATCTCAGCGCTCTTCGTACGGACACCGTTGGACGGCCTATCATATTTGTGGTGCATAGCCTTGGAGGACTGGTAATATAGGAAGCTCTCCAAATTTGTACTAATCCGAATGAAGAGGCCCAAAGTGATCTTCTTTCGTCAATACGTGGGGTTGCTACGACTCTAGCAGTGTCCAGATAACAATCCGCAAATTAGGAAAAAAATTTGGACCTTCAACATCCCCAAACTAACACAAAAATGTCATCATTGCGAGATTCAATTGTAGATTCCGTGGCGGCAATACAGAGACTAGCCACGAACTTATGCTTCGGTCAATTGTCTACCAGATTTGGAATAGCAACAGCCGGCTTCATGAACTACTCAAAGAGCGTTACCGGAACTTGTACAAGTAACGCATGTATTAGTCCACCGAGACATTCTGGAGCTATGAGGACCTCAAGTCGGTGCTACGATCTCTGCAATAGATTGACTTCCCCCTGAAAGTCATGATTGTGGTTGATGGAATGGATGAATCAGATAACGATAGGCGAAACGATGTTCTCCGCTTTCTTTCTGCCTGATCTCGTGGTTCACAATAGCAATTGTATCGTGAAGATTTTGATTGCTAGCAGACCTGAGAACGACATTCAATCTTACTTGAAACAGGCTTGCTTGCATCACATTAGACTTCAGGACGTAAATCAAAAGGACATATCGCTAGTGGTGGATAACTGGATTAAACAGATTGAGTCTAAGCATTGCTGTGGGCGGAGCATCTTAAAAGATATGAGGGACTATATCGTAAAGTAATCTTCAGGAGTTTTCTTCTGGGTGGCCTTGGTCTTGAGAGACATGGACAAATTTCTTGGAAAAAGCGGCTACAGTAAAAGCGACCTTGATGAGAGAGTTAGAGACCTCCTCAAAGAGCTTGGCGGGGAGGATGGCTTCTATAAGCAAATGCTACTTTCCTTGAGCACGAACGGCGAGGAAGACATGAAACAAGAAGAACGAGCCGAAGAATAATCTATTAGGTGATTTTTCCGAAGCGACCTATTTCAGTCGCGAACTTCAAGATGTGTTGGCTATCCCCTCTCTCACACAAGATGGATTTGTGTAGTTATAGCTCTGCATACAACAGACTTCTCGAGTTGAATCTTGAAATATTGTCGGCTTGTGGAGGCCTTGTTGAGGTTAGTGGTATTATATTGACTAATCGCCAAGAAAATCACATATCGTATCACTCGATCTATATTATTGTAAAACGTTTTGGTTTAAAGAGTCTAATTAGTTTCTGAAATCGTTAGATTGAGTAGACCTATGATATGTGAAAATGATTCAATTCTTTTTAAACTTTAAGGATTTATGAGAGTTGCAAAGCGTAGAAGCTAAGAAAATAATCTACTATAACAATGCAATTACGAGAACTATACACATCATATACTGGTATTTAGAGCATGCGAATTTAACCACCACGCCGCATCTTCTGATACATCCCCCATACGCCTTTGAACAACCCCTCTACCGCATTAGGATCACCCATATATCCCTCTCCTGGCTTTCCACTTTGATCTCTCCACACTCCATCCCCTGACACTCGCCCAAAGAGACTTGTGTTTTGGTTCCTCTCGATCCCATCTCTCCATTTTAAACATATTTCAGGACTGTCTACCATGATGTTAATTTCTTGGCTATGGAACCAAGATTGCGTATCCTGGTTGCCGCTCCCTTGTACTCCAACACTGCCATCCGCAATAAGAAGCTTTACGTGACAAGTTCTAGTTCTGAAGCTTTGATGAATTGGATGATCTTGATCTTTGCCAACATAGTCGAATATATGTAATAATTCACGCTCTGGGCCATCTTTTGGAAGGAGAGAAAGCAGGCTTCGCGCAGCTTGTTCATTTGTTCCTCCTTGGCTTGGAATAACCTCTCCGGCATCATTGTATCCGAAGCACACATAATACGTGACTTCAACGCCGCGTTTCAACGCCGCAGCTAGTGCTGGAATGAGTGGCGCAGCATTTAAATCTGGTGTTTGGATAAAGATGTTCTTTTGAGCATTGCGTATAAGAGAAAGCCAGGCCTCGTTTTGCGGCACAAAGACGTTTTTAGAGTCGACATTTCCATAAGGTGGGCGTGACACCAGGGCTATAGGGACTGGATATTCCGTTGAAGTTGCTATATAGGGTGTCATTTCGTGGCCGTCAGGAATTTCAGGGCCTGTGGGCGGAATTGGGCTCTTGATGGCAAGATTGAGCTGGCGATTTGCAGCCTGAAGTCGGGTTTCGCCCTCTTTGGTGGAATAGCATGATTGCATTCGCGCGATTTCTCCAATTAAGTCATCGTCATAGTGAGGATCTTCCGGCGTATGTTCTGGAAGAGTCGGTTGCGCCTGGCCAGCTGCTGCGATGCGCTGTTGATCTATACCACTTCCCCGATTTAGGTAAAGAGGCTCTTGGCTAGATGTTGGTAGTCCACCTGCGGCTGCTGGAGAATTACTTGACGGGAGAGGAGGATCCAGTTGATGCTTCCATGTAATGAGAGCCGAGTCGTATATGCTGTCAACAATAGGTCCCTCCAGATGCGTCATCATCTCCACGTTGGCGTTGTCCTCCATGTTGTTGCTCATAACTACCGCGAGTTTGCGATCGACCACGCAAAATTTGGCATGTAGAGTACCTAGAACCATTTTATGCAGGCTTACAACCTCCATATCCAAGTTGGGCACCTCTTCAGGAGCAGGCAGTTGAACATTCTTTGAAGTATAAGTGGACGGTTTCACGCGCTGATGCGGATCAAGCGCACTGGCCGGTGTTGCTTTGTCGTACATCATTTTCACCACCACCCGCTGTTTCCTTTCTCCAGCTCGTCTGGACAGCTCAATAAGTGAGTTTCTAATGAGTCTCTGGGCAACCGAAGGCGCCCAGTTGCAAGTTATAAAAATGACCTCGGTCTCAGCCCGCACAATGACATTAGAAACATGGCGAATGATGTCCACCAGAGGCGCAATAGCAGTCAACGGCACCGTTCCATGAGAGCCTATCAACGGAGGAGACACCACGTTGGACAAAGGATCTGCATCGAGACATCGGAGAGAGTCTGCAAATGCCTGGAGGAACAAAGGGCTCGGTGTTGTAGGACCCCACTGGCCACATTGTAGGGCCAAGTCCAGTGTCGCAGGATCTGGCAGCGGTCTATCATCGTCTGGGTTGCGACGGAGGTCTTTGTCGAGATTTCCGTATAGTTGCTCCACGAATTTTCCAGGCGGCTCTGTCGGATTTGCTGCAAGAAGCGAACTGACTGTGTCGGGAGCTCTGCACAGCCTCAGCACGTTTTCAGACACCATTATGGCGGTGCGGGGTTATCGCAGAAGAGAGTTGAGGCTGAGAGAGCGAATAATCTGTAAGAGCAGCTTTACACATGTAGACGATAAGATGAAAGAGACAAAATTTGAAGCTCTATACGATGGGCTGTTCGAGATAGTCGATGCTGTTTGTTTCATTTCAGTGCTTGTGTGGGGTTATCGAAACGTCATCAAGCGGCCGTGGCGCCCTAAAACTTGATACTGCTGTCAACCCGTCAGCATCCCGTCAACCTGGAGTCTGAAGTTGAATGGATTTAGCAGAAATTAGTGGTTGGAAGTGTTGCCGGATTGCCGTTGAGTGTCCCAGAACGTCGCTAGGCTCGCCGAGTTTCCGATCGAGCAAGGCCTCGTGTGGATCTAACAGCCTGACACTGGGCAGAGGCTTCAGAGCAAATGAAGAAGACTCTGGAAAAAGGACTATGATGCATGAGAGAATGCATGAGAGAATCTGCATCGTGGCAGTGCCTGAAACTAGCTGCTTTTGAAGGCATCGCCACGGCTGGATCAGGAAACTACCCGTTATTGGCCTCGGAATGAGCCGTTGTCTTGGCAAGAACACGGTGCATGCATATCCGCGCCCGTGATCCTTGTCCCAGCTACTGTGGCTCACTAGAGATCTCCAGCACGGCGCCGATCCGCGTCATTGAAGAGGCTGGCTCCGCTTTGCAGCCTTGTCAACAATTGGGTGGTATTGAAATAAACGTGGAGGGCTGGCTGTCGTACTTGTAGGTATTAGTGGCGTGGGCTTCAAGACGCTTCAATTGACACGTGCTTGACACGTTCGCTAATATCCCGTAATGAAACATGCGTCGAGGCAAGTGAGCAAACCAAGCTTTGAAACGACTGATGAATTATTCCGCAGCATCTTCTTTGTATAAATTGACGTTTTTTAGTTCTCAGATCTATTCTTGGCCGTTCGATAGCCGGGAAGCTGTCATACGCCACATATGCAACCAGATAACGGGGGCGCTGGCTAGTTTCCACATTAAAGCCAATGCGAGCGTGCCGCTGCACTTGTACAGCACCAATAACATTTCGTGCAGCCAGGAGTCGAAGCTTCGAATACTACTGCTTGAGCAAATCTTTTTTCATTCAATTGATTCAAACATAGAATGATGCAAGAGCTGCACAGCTGGGCATTTGATACGAAACAAAATGGAGGCAGTATCAGAAGCCACAAGCGGAGATTGTGAGATTATGCCAACATACGTATGAGACTACATAGACTAGAGGTCATGGACTTACAAGACTTCCACAACAAAAGAAGCGAGCCTATAATGCATGCACTACCTGCGGCAGCCGAGATTGAGGGGAGAGCAATAATGGAGCCGCTTCAAGAGAGAAGGGTGCTGGTGCAGGTAAGCATGTATTTGACCGAATTCGCTCACGAAATAAAAGGTGTTCATGATGTGTTTAAATATTAGTTGTAATTGATAGAGAAATGTCGATTATGTTATGTATTCAACAATACTGTATACGAAACAATGTAAGGACGAGCATGCCGATGAAACACGCATCTGATTCGTGTTTATCAATCGCAGCTAGAGTGAAACTACAAGGACGTGAGTTCGACTTATATAAGGGTTAACACAAGTATGAAATCGAATAAAGAGTCGGTGTTATTCTGCCTGTGTTGCAAAACACTATATTGGAAATCGCATCATCACTTCTTGGAGATCCAGTGTTCTAATCTGTCATTGATAATGAATATTTAGCAGCCGTCAAATTGGATAGCTCTTACCATTGTGTAATGAACCTAGTCAGCATGCTTATCTTCATTCTTTTCTTGGCTAGTACGATTTAAATCTCCGCAAGGTGTAATACTATTATGGATAACTCTAACTCAGAATTCTTACAAATTACTGTAAATCACAACATGATTAAAGTTTCCATGCAAGTATAAAGTTGAAAGACGTGATTGTCAGATGTGATCACGGTGGGGAGCGAGAATTCACCTGTGTAATGAATAGTATATAACTGGTTGATCCCAATCGTCGAAAAATTGAAAATTTAACTTTATTTGTATATATCCAATGGCCTAAGGAGTGTCCATAATTTATGTCATAAACTTTATGTTCAGATTGAGCTGTCAAGCAATGCAAGCCACAAATCCTTTGCGTCGAAAACTTTGATATCCGTCTTTCATCCGACTGGTCATCTCAAAATCCCATTTGTCATAATATGGTTGGCTTATGGGATAGTGAAGTTGGGAGGAACACAGTAGGGGCTGCCGTTCTGGTTGTCGAACTTGCAGACGGTCTTGGGAGGACAATTTCCAGCAAACTATTGGGGGATTTAGTCAAGGCATAATTTGAAAGTCATTCTTCAGAGGTAAACTTACGACCCATTGACCGGCAGTGCTGCATACTTGCCATCCCTGATCATTGGGAAGGCAGGCGTAGGTAGCAGGCTTGCAGCCATGAGGAGGAGGGGGAGGAGGGGGAGGCTTGTAACCGGGGCTGGCAGTGACCACGGTAACAATGGCAGCAATAGCGAGAGTGGTGAACTTCATGATGAAAGTTAATAAGAAAGATTGTCTTATAGATTTATAGCTGAAGATGTAGAAAAGATGTGGATGCTTGTTGTGCTGATGATGAGATAGAAGTGAGGGTATCGAGAGGCAGATATGTAGGTCTTTATATACTCGAAATTCAAGTCTAGATCCTCCATTGATTCTCGAGATGGAATAGAACAACGGTCAAGCCTTAGGTCTCAACGCTTTGAAGGATCATGCCATGTATGTCTCAGGCAAGGGAGACGTAGGTGGCTGCTGAATGCCTTCGTATCCTTCACGCTATACGAAAAGCCTCACGCTCGAATACGAAGTGACGCTTACTTTTCAACCACTTACAGTCAAGGCCCATTGCTAGCTACATATCACATACATGAAATAGCTTCGATGTCTCAATTATACGGTGCCAGCTGTCAAAGCTAAGTCGGACCTCCGGCGAATGCCTCATTTGCGCGAATAGTGAGCGAGTAGTGAGATTGAAGCTGCTGCACCGTCCTATCAGCACTTGAAGGATGAGCATTCTGAGATTTGCCAAGCTACAATACGAGTGATCGGCGAAACAGTAAGAAAGCCAACTTTGCTACCCGTCAGCGACATCCGATGTGCAAAACACCAACACTCAATTCAATGCCCTAGACCCGAGATGGCGCCGCTCTAGAAAGTGGCAATTCCCGCGCATCCATAGCACAGCCAGCGGTCTAACCAGCGCCATCATCTCCTTAGTACGATGTGTCCATTGAAATGCCAGCTGTCTCGCGTCCTAAGATTCATTTAGCTCAAGCAAGGAGCGTGCGGCTGAACGCCATAGCGCAGCTCCTCTGGCTGGAGAACCCCATGGGAGCCTAAAAAAAGCAACATTAGCCGGTTGCCACTAGCACCAATGAGACGATAGAAAGCCGGTTGATATTCAGTTTCTCGTTGTCATAGAAGCCCGACAACTCCTCAGCCCTATAATGCCAAGCCGGTCGTGTGATTCAATCGCCAAAGTGCGGTGTAAGACAGGCATTGATGGACGACAACAGGCCAGCGCAAGGGGGATGACATGACCTGAGCTGGCCTTTGTCGGTCGATCGGCCGGAGGTCTAGGCCCCATTCGTGCCGGATCCTGGAGGAGTCCCTTTTTTCGTCGGTGAGACGGAGTGTGGAGATGATTGGCCGATTCTAGTGGGCGCCATCTGCTTGCCGTTTGTGGAGGCGGAGTCGCATTGTGCTTCTCCAAGGACCTGAGGAGGCCCGGAGCTAGGGCATTGAGTTTGAAGCATTTTGACAGCGGTGGCGATGTCTCACGGGAGAGATTCTCCAAAATTGCTAACTTTTCAGTCAAAAGGGCCGACGAGCGAAGCCATCAACGCCATCAAGCACTTAAAAAACAACAATTGTCCGAAATCAGCACGCGTCTTGCCACAATTCAATGGCTGAACCATTTTGGGGCATTTAGAGGTTTAAAACGCGGGTTCGGACGATCTCTCTCTCCTTTCTTGTTACACAGCCAAGTTAGAGGATTCACTTGAGGATTCTCCTGAGTTGAGGCTGATCCCATTCCCCCGTCGGCGACTCGCAGATGAAATAAAAGACCGACGAGTTCAAAGGAACCAGAGTAGCCTAGAGACCCCACAGTGTCATTTGTTCTCATGTAAAGCGTTGTCACATAATTCGATAACCTTTTGTTTGTGTAAGCTTAGAAGTGAACTCAAACCCAATTAAACCTAGGGTTTCACGCGCTCACGATGTCTCATGATTGTGTTTAACCATTTCCCGTAGAAAATTTGAGCTGTAATAGTACCTTGTCCATAAGGTTCATCGGATCTTGCGGACGATCACATCGATCGAGCTCTTCGATGTCTGTCTTCAGGTGGATCCCGGAGCACTCCGAGCCCCACTAGATGGCTTACAGTCTATGTTATTGACAACATCAAACAACAATCACAAGCAGCCAAGAGCCGCTGATACTAGAGCGGAAAGTATTTGGAAAATTTTTATCTTTTCAAGTTCATGTATCTCCGGAAGCATGTGACATCATCTGTTTTCTCATGGTTTAAGTGAGTGACGCAGATCTACTTCCCGTCGATTGTGTCGTAGTAAATAGTATTTGTAGGCTATATTCTTTCCAAGAGAGGAGGAATATCTCCACAAAACATTTGGCTGGAGGATTTTATTAGGTTCTCCTGTACTATTTATACACGCATTTCAATCACATAAGATTTTCATTACTCGTGTGTATAGTTTCCGTGTCAATAACAAGCCTGTAACTAAGCCTCTTACAAAGAGCTTCTATATTGACAAATTGATAGTTCACTGTTAGCAAATCACTCTATTTCATGATCCATTAATTTCCAATAATGGTGGTGTGCAATCGCCATCCCCGTCCTCCTCACAATCTAGGTCAGTGTTGCTCTCAAGCAGCAACTTCACCACTGCCTCATGTCCACTCTCTTCAGCCCACGAAAGTGGTGTCTTCACTGAAACAACTGTGTCAGTAAATCATATTCAACTCCCCTAGAAGCCTCTCCTAGAAGCTCTAAATGCAAAGACTTGTTTAGAACTTTAGGTGGTACAAGCCTTGAAGAGAAAGGTTTTTGGAAGCTAGATATGTAATGCCAGAGCGAATATTGTACCTGAGGTTGTAATAGACCACTGAAGTAAGAACCGCCCTACCAATGACCAGCATGAAATATGTCCCGCAGGAAGTAACGTTTTGGGACATCAGCGGCCCTTGCCATTGACCAACACACTTTGAAATATAATGTCAACGCCAAGGATTGGAGAATAGCAATGCATCTGCTAATAAAGGAATTGTGAGAAAGCTATTCAACAACCTGTATGTACGCCACCGATTCTCATGTCCAAGTTCTTTTCGAAACAATGCACTAATTGAGCAGCGCCTGCGAGGCCGAAAATGTTTTTGATCCAGGGATGGCTACATGGAGTGGGCAGCAAGAGAAATATGAGCGTTCTATACATGTAATGTACTAATATATGGACGTTAACTTCTAGATCTCTACATTTTCTGACACTTTTTACAGAGAAGGACTAATTTTTTGCACTGCCTAGTAGTACTTTTTATTCAGGTAGTCATTAGCTGGATATATGTAAGTTTTACGCATTGACTGTACGTATATGAAGAACCAAGGGCTTATTTCGCTCGTCATTGTAACCTCGGCTTGCCAAAAAAGTTTATGCATGTACCACGAGCGGTTTCACCAAATTGGAATATGCTTAAATACGTTGTCCGTATATGTGATTACCCTAGGGAAAGTACCAATCCCGCGCCTGGAGCCTAGAGCTCACATATTGACAATATAACTTGATACGAGGGAATCAGTTCTAAATCTTTATCTAACGACGTATCCATGATGGTGTCTGGCTCAAATAGTCCATGGGCCTTAGGTCAGCGGCAGTGTTAACCAACAGTGTCACCACTGTCTGGTGCCCATTCGCGGCGGCGAGCAATAATGGTGTCTGACCTAAGTCATCCTCAGACTTTAGGTTGGCGCCATTATCGAGCAGCAGCTTCACCACTGCTCTATGCCCATTCACTGCAGCCCATGACAGTGGTGTACGGCGTGTTTTATCTGTAGATTTTATATTGGCACCGCTTTTCAGCAGCAGCTTCACCACCGTCTTATGCCCATTCGTTGCGGCCCATGATAGTGATGTTCGACCTAAATAATCCTTAGACTTCAGGTTGGCGCCGCTTTCAAGCAGCCGCTTCACCACCGTCTTATGCCCTTTCGTTGCGGCCCATGATAGTGATGTTCGACCTAAATGATCCTTAGACTCCAGATTAGAGCCGCTCTTAAGCAGCAATTTCACCATTGTCTCTTGCCCATTCACCGCAGCCCATATCAGAGGTATTTGGCCGGTATTGTTTTCTGATTTCAAGTCGGCGCCTTCGTCAAGCAGCAGCCTCACCACTGATTCATGCCCACTCTCTACTGCTTGGTGTAGCGGCGTCCGACCGTTCTTATCTTTACACTCTATGTTGGCGCCTTTGTCAAGCAGCAGCTTCACCACAGTTTTATGGCCGGTCTCTGCCGCGTGGTGTAATGGAGTCCTTGCTTCCTTATCCTTTACGTTGGCATCAACTCCAACGATCAAAGACACTTCAGTTGCTGTTAGATATCCTTCTCTTACTGCAGCATACAACGTTCTGTTTGGAAGGTCTGTTTCTGCGCCATTCAATTTGTTCTTGAAAGATGTGCTGCTTATCGTATTATTTAGATGCAAGGTAAGCCAGTTCTCCAGTAAATAAGCAGCCGGACTGTTCATTACTTCGCCGACAAATTGAGAAGTGATGTCCAGAATATATGCGTCCTTCTGGCAGCCATATATGTGGTGACTAAGGTAGCAAAGAGCATAGGTAAGAAATGGCATTTCTTCGAGATATTGGATACAATCTCTGAAGTGCTGTTGAGTCCAAGATTTGGCCTCCGGGAGCCTCTCAGCCATATCTGTTGCACAGAGTATGAGATATCGGATGCATATTATAGATATGCAAATGTGCGCAGCTTTCTCGTTCATTTCGAATTCGGTGCCTGCAACAGCACCACCTGGGCGGAGGAAAAACTCGCGAACTGTCTGGTGCATGATTTGAACACTACCGCGTCCTACGGCTGTGCTGGCCTTTGAAGTGGTAGGGTCTTCATAGGCGTTATTGCCAGAGTACTGTCTGATCTCCAAGAAGTTGCCGCCGCAATGAGTGATAAGTCGCTCAGATGGAATATTATTTCGAAAAGAATCATTGGACAACTTGAGTTCTGAACCACTCTCACCTGGAATAGCAAGAGCATGGAGAAGTTCGGTGGCTGCAAGAGGGCGGCGTGCGAAGAGAACGAGCTGGAACATCCTTATCCCATCCTTGATATCTGCCGTGTTCCGCGACATCTTATTGAGCATTCTTCGGTAGAATTTGTCTAGTTCTATTGGGAGGCTTTTGAGGAAGTCGAAGATATCTTTCTCACGACAACGTCCAGCCTCGTCATAAGCAAGTAGTTCAATCTTTACCAGCTGCACCCATAAAAATACCCCCTGAGCGTGATCGACAATGTATTCGGTTGCTTGTTTGAGAAAATTGGAGAATTCAAGGTCCTTTAAGAAAGAAGTAGCGAAGCTAGCAATATCAGCTTTTGACTGGTCTTGCAATATTATGCTGAGAAATTTGCTCTCGAAAAGTTTGCGGGTGCGAGGGTTTTGAAGTATTCCCATCGGCCGGCTAGCAAGAAATATCTTTATCACGCAATTGTCCGACTTTGAGCATAGAAGGAACATTAGTTCCAAGATCTCACGCCTATCGTCATGGCTAGACTCGTCCATTGCATCAATGATTAGATACAGTCGCTTTGCTGGAGAAAAATCCGATATTGATGCAAGAATTCTCTTCAGCAATACATAATCCCACTCCACAGGAGCGCCAAAATCTCTTTCTTGCGATGCCTTTTTGTGCCGATACGCGGATTGGAAATAACGGTAAAAAGATGCTTCGTTCTGGCCTAGAATTTCGTATAGAATGCATCGAAGCATATTGTGGTGGCTACTTTGGAGCTCGCCATCTCTGTCACTATAAAAGAACTTGGCTACAATCGCAGACTTTGCATCTGGATCTCGTTTTGGGAGTTTCTCTCTGAAATATCTGGTAAGAGTGCTTTTCCCACTGCCCGGTTTCCCTTGGAGATAAAGCAATCGAGAGGCATCTGAATTTGACCATTCTTGGTACTGGTCATGCGTCCAAATCCACTCTAGGGAACCGTCATGTTCTTTGGTGATCTTGCCATAGCGTGAGTTATCAAAGTAGAGGCTAGCTCGGCACTCTTTGATTATTTCCGTTAGCTCAATTTACAGCATGGGATGAGGTGCAAGTACTACCTCTTCTCTCTTTATCATATTCAATATATGGTAGGCCATCGAGAGCTTTTATGACATCAGTCTGGCGTCGACTTGTAAGAAAAGCCTTCGTGTTTGAGACTCGCTGTTGTAGATTGTCGATAAATTCACGAATCCCCTTGATGAATTCGCCTTTTTCATCCTGGACTTTTCCTAATCCATCAATGACAATCAGTAACTCTCCCTCGGGCTCTTTAGCTAGAATCGACATTAAAGAGGCCCAAAGCGCGTCAGTTGGAGCTTCCTCCAACCATTTCTCTGAATGCTTTTCGAAACGTTCTATTTCTGGATAGTAAGCGCTTTCCTCTTTGCAAATACACTTGATAAGATTTCGGAGAAAATTTCCAATAATCAATTTTTGTTTGTCCGTCGGTAGGTAGCAGATATATTGGTAGAGGAGTCCGCGAACAAAATGGGATATCAGCGGTTGTTCACTGGCCACGGATGAGCAGAAATAGTACAGAACAGTACGTTGAGCCTTCAAGAGATTTTGGTCCACAATGTGTGATGAGACCTGATGTATGTTGCATTCGGATGGCCCATATAACCAAATTGTCTGAGGACGGTTGGTCGTTTCCTCCCAAAGCTGAAAATCTACATTTTTGAAAATCCAGCAAAATTCTGGCTGGTCGCAATTCAAGAGTGGTATTGTAGATTTATGCTGCTCTTGAGTAACTGATTTCAGTATCTTGCACATCTGATCAACAGAAACGGAGTCTGCGAATAATTCAAGTCTCTCCTGTGGCGCTTCACGATATCAGCCTCAAACTTCTCTCTGATTTCTGGTATTTGAGCAAGCGCTTTTCCAAAAGGAATATTCTGGTTCTGGATCAATACTTTAAAGGCAGAATCAGAAGCAAAGGAGTGAGGAAATCACCATTGCATCCTTTCAAAGACTAGCCAGCCTTGGTAGTTCAGAATGGCTGAAAACGCTATCATTGCCTGGATATCCTGACAAAGGTTCTCATTCGTATAAAGAATGCATTATACAGAGAATAATTGGCAAATCAATTTCCTCACCTAAGAACGCGAATGGTAGATAGGAAATTTTGGACATACATAGAAACCTTTTCATGATGGTAGCACGCGCGGTGTTTGCAATTTCAGAGAGGCATCTGAGAACTGTCGTATAGTCATCGTCAATGTGAGAGAATTTGACGAGGTTCGAATGATCCCGGTGCATCGGTTTTATGTAGCTTCCATCCTCCTCCAAATCTCGTCCGTGAGTTGCGGAAGCAAAATCTACTAGTTTAATACGTGGCCCCGTCATTTCCCATTGGCCTGTACTCTATATGTGATCTTAGCGGTAGCTTTCCCAAAGGGATATACTCGACTCACCCCTCTTTGAGCGGTTGGCGATTCCATCGTTTCGTAGAAAGAAAAGATTTTCGAGTCACGGAAAGTAAAAAATCGCCGAAAATTGGCTCTCAAAACTCTCAGAATGTCCGATGAAACACCTAGTTGCTCTATGAAGAATCGATTTGGCTGATCTTGAACCATGGGAACCCATTGGCTGACTGGCATTCCTTGGTTTGGGACTCCAAAGAAAAGCATTCCACATATAGATTTGAAGTTTGCCTTATCCGAATTCTCGCCAGCGTGCATTCGAATCAGTGCATACAATGACGTTAATCCTAATGATTTCATAACAGAGGAGGAGACATACTGCCTTAATGATGATGCCGCCCAAGCTGTGTCCGATAAGTATGAGTGGTCTTTCCGGGCTTGCAGTTTGGACTTTTGATGTCCTAAGCCATGAATAGCTCCGTATACTCTTGACCCTCTCTTGGAACTCGTTGGCTAGATCATCTAGACCGACAGAAGATATACTACCATGCATTTGAGTATCATAGCCGTATACGAAGATCCTCATATTTGGAATATCCCTCGCAAGAGAATCACGTAACCACATGTGCGACCCTTTCCTCTCCTTGAACGATCCGAAGGCGTGACTCCCAAGTCCAGATACTGCAATTAGACTAAATCAATCAGTTAGTGTCTTCTTATAGAATTGATGCTCACACTGACTCGACGTCGCATTCTGCGTCGCTCCTTGAGTGTAAAGGGGTCAGACCCTTGAAATGGGTATCAAAGACGAGAGCACTTCTCTCGCGGTCATTCTGTTGGTTGCCAAATAACGAAAATTGCCATTCCCAATTATCTGTATATTCAGATAAGCGATCTGGGATCTTCGAGAATTCTAGTGTTGCGATTTTTCTCCCCGGGCGAGACGGGTCATCTGCGAGAGAATTGACATCAACTGCAATATCATGTCCAAGTTCTAGAACTCTTCTCACAAGCTCTTCCACACCATGTTGTTCAATATTAGACGGTATACCTCGTAGTCTATAGGCCAAAGATTTAGTCGTAGCATCTCGGGCAGACGATTGTACCTCTGGTGTTTGGACATTCGTCGAAGCTGTCTCGGCATCGTCGCTGTTTCGGGATACCTGGGAGATAGAATCCTTACGCGGTTCCATTCTATACCCGGCTCATAATTATTACTATGCTTGACACTTTCCTAAAAACTGGCTGGCTGCAAGAGACTTTACCTAGATAGAGGTTTTTCTGTAATGCTTTTGCTCTTCAACTTCGCTATACGGCTAGTGAATTGGTGATCAAGTACAGTTGTATCCATGTATACGAAAGAGGGGGCGAAATGGGCTCGCTAGCTGTAATATACCCCGCACCCGCGTGATAGGAACCTTCCGAGTTTTGAATCCAAACACTGAATCTCCGTATCCAATTGAAGATGCCCATTTCTGCGACTGGATGCGTATTTGCGGGGCCGAAAAGACCGCATACAGGAGGCTGCATATTATAGCAACATCCCCTCCTACACCTTTGCGCCAACCATCAAATCGAGGGGCCAGCTAAAGATCTACAAGAGCCGTAACTTATTATTAGCATTGAGAGTAAAGGAGAAAAATATATAAGGCTAGGGGGCCTTGATATGATACCCGCGTGTGAGCGCACCAGTTTATTAGTACTGAGAACAAGACGACCTCAGGCCGCCACCGCAGTGGAAATAAGGTATATAGGTTTTATTATTCTTTTTCTCATATAGGGGATTTATAGTTGAACTAGTAGTGGCGTTAACTATCTAGGGTATTTTGTATCAATAAATAAAAGGGAGAAGTTGCTACAAAAACACGTATTATGAACTTTGTGATATTTTCGTTGTTTCGCGGATCTTTTGAACGAATCGATCAAGCGCTTAAACTTACAAGTAATTTTCCCCGGTGGATCAAGGAACACGCCGAGATCCACTAGCTTAGTAGTTAATAGGTTATGGGTACCTATTGATACACAACCAAGGATGTAGTATGAACTGAGACGCGAAAGCGCCAAGAAGTATATGAGAACAGGAACAACTTAACATGAGCAGTGCCGGAAATCAGTCGCTAAGGCCAATGTTAACATCTCCAGATTATTACTAGCAGAAGCATGAGTCATGTACCTAGGGTACATGTACTGTAATTGATAATAGAGGTACTACCTAACCTACTAGGTACTAGGTACTAGTAGGTCTACCATGCTTGCTACTATGCTTGCCAACCAATATTACATGACGATCTACACAATATACGAGGGAACTTGCATGATACAGATTAATCGCGTTGCTACTGTGCCTTGATAACTTTGAGTTGAGCATAAACAATGCATTTCTGAAATGACTGGTAAAAATTGTGCTGAAAGGCTGGCTGAAGTCATACAATTTTGTAATCGTTGTAGTTCCGCGTAAAAAGAAACAATTCTAGTATCTCATTCGTCGTCAAGGCAACCTTCATTTACTAATGTTGCCTGTTATATCAAAAGTACCTATCTATGGCTGCGAGGCTACTATTGTCTTTAAACACATCTTTTCGCTGCAGTATACATGTATACATGTAGATGTAGATGTTCCTCCTATCGCACTACATACTGGCTTACAGGGTTAAAAGAAAGCAACACCTGGGCCTCATTGAATCGCGATTACGTCTCTGCCCACAATCTGGTGTGCCGACGGATAGGATGAGTAAACTGCCGACCCTTGAGATTATAGCGGCAAAAACAAGGCACCAGCGGCGCCTCTACCCACATTTTCGGTATGTGCCTAATGTTCCGGATAAAGGCCTTTCTGCATCATTGACTAAAAGTTTTACCTTCTCTGGTTTCCTGGTGACGGTCTGAGCGAGAAGCGCACAAATAATGGTTTAGTCGCCATGTCATATTGCGGGGGAAATCCGGGGAAGGACGGCAATTATTGGACCTCACCCACCTCAACTATTGATCTCAACAAGATGGTTGCCCAAAGACGATGACCATTAATTATCCGTCGGTAAACTTTATGATGAAGATGAACTGAAACTCTCGCCTTTATCTTTGATGGCCAATCTGCCGTCGCTTTCGCTTCAAGCTCCGAAATAGTCATGGCTGGTTTCATTAGAACTAAATAAATCTGAGCAGCGTTGCATTATGCACCCCATAGAAAGGGCTGCTATTGAACAGAAAAGACTCTAGAACTCTAGCTAAACCCTCTTCAATAAGATATTGAATGTCATTCACGCAGTCTGGACTATCTGTGACATGCAGCTCTGCAGTACGAATTGGGCAGTTTGACATGGCAACCCTGTTACTGACAATTTTCCCGCCGGGAGAGCTCAAGGGATTGACGATCATGACTTCTAATGGAAAGTGCGGATAACAAAGCTAGCCATTATTCACGATATAGATCGGTATAAATAGGCCACTCACTTCCTTGTTTATCTAATGATTCCCAAGAATAGCGGCAGGCCTCTGGTGCCAACCATAACAATGGCCAAGTTCAACCTCCAAGCCCTTCTCATTGGGCTCCTAGCCACAAATGCTTCCGCAGCTCTAGACGGAAGCCGGTATCTGTGGTACACCTCTCCCGCCACAGACTGGGAGACTGGCGTTCTTCCCATTGGAAACAGTCGCCTCGGCGCGGCCATTTTTGGAGGCGCCAATGAAGTCGTCACCATCAATGAAGATACACTTTGGGACGGCCCGCTACAGAATCGCATCCCTGCAAATGGGCTTGCTGCCCTGCCAAAGGTCCGCCAGATGTTGGAAGCTAACAACCTGACTTCTGCTGGCAATCTTGTCTTGAGTCAGATGACCCCTGCTATTTCAAGCGAGAGACAGTTTAGCTATTTTGGCAATCTGAATCTCAACTTTGGGCATTCGTCGAGTGGGATATCGAATTATATCCGTTCGCTTGACACGCGACAGGGCAACTCTAGCGTGTCTTATACATATAACGGCGTGACGTATACGTATGTACTTCAAAAGAAAAGTCAAGTGTTGAAAGCTAATATCTTGCTTGGTCAGCCGTGAATATGTTGCGAGTGCCCCAGCTGGTGTTATCGCAGCTAGATTCACAGCTAGCAAAGCCGGCGCTCTGAGCGTCAGCGCTACATTCTCAAGAATCTCAAACATTCTAAGCAATGTGGCATCAACATCAGGCGGTGCCAACACTTTGACCTTGCAAGGGTCTAGTGGGCAAGCTGCTTCGGCCAACCCCATCCTATATACTGGCAAAGCTCAGTTTGTAGCCAGCGGAGGTAATGTTTCTCCCTAAGACAATAACATTAATCATTTCAATACTAATTAGCAACACCAACAGCTACTTTCACCGCTTCTGGAGGCACGCTCACTATCAGCGGCGCAACCACCATTGATGTCTTTATCGACGTCGAGACAAACTATCGTTATCCTTCAGCCAGGGATCTCGCCGCTCAAGTCAACAGCAAACTCAGCTCGGCAGTAACGCAGGGCTTCCAGAAGATTCATGACGGAGCCATCGCCGACGCCAGCGCTCTCCTGGGCCGCGCCAACATCAACCTTGGCACATCTCCCAACGGCCTCGCCAGCCTTTCTACGGACCAGCGCGTCAAGAATGCTCGAAGCAGCTTCAACGACCCGCAGCTTGCAGTTCTTGTGTGGAACTATGGCCGTCATTTGCTTGTTGCCTCGTCTCGCAATACTTCTGCCGCTATTGACATGCCTCCTAATTTGCAAGGTGTCTGGAATAACCAGACAAGTGCACCCTGGGGTGGGAAATTCACGATTAACATTAATACTGAGATGAATCTCTGGCCTGCTGGTCAGACCAATCTCATTGAAACGCAGCTGCCACTCTTTGATCTGATGAAAGTTGCTCAGCCCCGTGGCCAGCAGATGGCCCAGGATCTTTATGGCTGCAACGGTACTGTCTTCCACCACAACTTGGATGTTTGGGGCGACCCAGCACCGACAGACAACTTCACATCGAGCACGATGTGGCCAATGGGTGCGACGTGGTTGGTGCAGCATATGCTGGAGCAGTATCGCTTTGGCGGTGACATAAATCTCCTCCGAAGCGCAACCTACCCCTATCTCCTGGATATCTCCAAGTTTCTTCAGTGCTACACATTCACATGGCAAGGGAATCGCGTCACTGGTCCGTCTCTCTCCCCCGAGAATACGTACGTCGTTCCCAGCAACGCCACAGTCTCTGGCCAACAGGAGCCCATGGATCTGGCCCCTGAGATGGATAACCAGCTTATGCGAGATGTCATGAAGGGCGTCATCGAAGCTGCTGCCGCTCTCGGTATCTCCACCAGCGACAGTAATGTACAGGCCGCCACCAACTTCATCCCACAGATTCGAACTCCTCGCATTGGATCCTATGGCCAGATCCTGGAGTGGAGATATGAATACGGCGAGACTGACCCAGGCCACCGCCATCTGTCTCCTATGTACGGCCTTCATCCATCGA